TATATATATATATATATATATATATATAAACTGACAATATGACAACGCCGCTACCGCTTGGCGATTGGCGGCGCTGATCACGTTCCGCCTCGTTATTCTGCCACCAGCGCCATCTATATTCTTTGCGGAGGAGACGTACATGGTGGCCGAAGAAGCCGGTAGATTGCTGGTGACCGTGAGACGTCAAGGTCACGACCTCAGCAACACGTCGACCGTCATCGTTCACTCAAGGTCATCGGGAAAGAACGCAGCCCAGCGTGAGTCTTGCAGCAGCAGCGGCCAGCCACACCGCACATGTCATGTTATGCTTAGCCGAGACTGATAGGGTCTATATCTTCCTGGGTACTGGCGGACACTGCGGCTGCTGTTGTCAATATCAACAATCAACAATCAACAAACAGTAATGTCCGCAACAATAACAGCAGTTAGTAGCAACATTAGTAGCAGCAACAACAGCAGCCGCAGTGTCCGGCAGTACCCAGGGAGACATAGACCTTATAGATATAGCTGAGGGAACTTGATAGCTCGCAGGGTTTCCTACTTTCCTCCCTCTGCGCTGACATGTATTGGAATGTTTCTGTCTCGGTTTATCTCCGACGTATGCCAGCCATGAGTGTTTTCATGGTATTTATGTGATGGCCAAAGGTATCTGCTTATATTAGGTTTAACTCGGTCTGGTGACAATTCACAAAATGGCTCGTGGTAACTTTGTGATTTCCACGCTTCAAGCGTGTGTTTAATCTGCAGTTTTCTCTTCGCACTACAAGCGTGTGATAACTGCGCAGTTTTAGCGTTTCAACATTTTCTCTTTCTTTCGTCTCGCTATATCTCTATGTTTATACCCGTCTTCATCTCTATCTCTATGTTTATCTCCATCTACATCTCTATCTCTATCTCTATCTCTATATCTCTATTTCTATCTCTATCTCGACCTCTATCTCTATCTATATCGCTATTTCTATCTATATCATTATCTATCTATCTCGCTCTTTCGCTCTTCCTCGCACTATCTCTCTCCCTCTCTCTCATCCTCTCTCTCTCTCGCGCGCGCTCTCTCTCTCTCTCTCTCTCTCCTCTCTCCTATCTCTCTCTCTCTCTCTCTCTCCCTCTCTCTCTCTCTATCTGACCCGCCGTGTTTCTGTGTCGCGCGCGGGGTGGACACCGGTCAGTCGTCGTGGTCCGTGGTCATCCTCACCGCTCTGCACACGCCGCCGCTCATCCGCTGCTTGCAGCCGGCCGCGACTACGCGAGGCTCAACCGGATGCTTCTGTTTTCCCCGGGAGAGGCTGCCCGCACGCTCAGCGTCCGCATCATCGACGACATCTTCCAGCCGCAGCTAGAGGGCGCTGAAAGCTTCGAGCTGATGCTACACTCGCCGACAGGGGGCGTGCTGACCAGTCCCAACACGACGGTGATCTACATCAACGACAGCGTCGCTGACGGTAAGCGTCACGCCACCTGGTGGTGGATCTTCTGATAATTCAGTAACAAATTCCAGGTTGACCCAAATCACTGGACACAATTGGAGGCAGCCATAGACTTGTGTATATAGCTCACATGTAACATATATACACACTGGCAACAAATGCGCGTAGTAAAATATCATTGATTCGTGTATGCATGGAGAAACTGACGGACCGACAGACAGATCTAGATGAAAAAAGGGGGCGCGCGGAAGGACGGACTGACATAATGACAGTCGACAAACATATTAATAACCTTGGCTAGGTCTATGTGCATGCTCGCTGTAACTTCGTTTTCACTCACAGACCACCGATAGATAACATTGACACTATGCACGTGCGTCAACCCTCCGTTATTATTATTCAATTATTCAATTTCAATTATTACTTTGCTTTCAATATTACTTTGCTTTCAATTACAAACCTATAAATATATGACACTGACTGTGCATACATGCGTGTCTGCGCAAACCTCGTCATATTCAAGCGCAGACAGATATAGATGACACTGACTGTGTCCACGTGTGTGCTCGCTGTGACTTACGCCGCTATTCGCCCGCAGCTCCTGTCATGCAGTTTCGTGATGCTGAGGTGCGAGCGAACGAGGCTGACGGCACGGCGACAGTCTACGTCGTACGCACGGGCGACATGGCGCACAACTCGTCAGTGACCTGCTACGTAGTGTCGGGAACCATGGCAACGCACGCAGGCGCACACGCTCAACAAAAGAGAGAGGAATCTACACTCGTGTTCTTACCAGGTACCAGAGCTGAGTATTTAACACAATAATTCAGTGAAAACTTGCGTGCACGCACGCACGCGTACATGCACGCGCACACGCACACTAACAACACAACATAGCACACCACGCACATGTGCGCGTGCGCGCACACGCACGCACGCACGCACACACGCACACACGCACGCACACACGCGCGCGCGCACGCACGCACGCACGCATGCACGCACACACACATATATATATACTATCCCCCTGTATTATGTCGACCATCCGTGGCGCCATCTACCGCTGACGGCCATGTTGCTAGCGGCGGCTGCCCGACCGTTGCTGATAATAGCAGACGATGTTCACAGGCGAGCGAGAGAAGCCATGCGTCGTCAAGCTGGACGACGATGCAGAGTACAGTCGTACCCGCAGGCTGACATTGACCTTGGAGCGAGCGACGAGCGGGTCGGCAGGAGTAGCTAGACTTGGGTCGCGCAGATTTTCCACCGTGTTGGTGAAAGACAACGACGGTAACGCCACGCTTCTATACCCATCTTACTATAGCACTTATAGAACCTTACTATACATATCACACTCACACCTTTATTTATGCTAGCATACATTGCTACTATAGCAATTATAGAGCTGTACTAAACATACTAATCATCTTCGTGTTACTCCTTTATTTATGCTTGTATACCTAGCGACTATAGCAGTTATAGAGCCTTACTCTACCTATCTTACTCGTATGGTATACTATTATAATACTTTCATGATGCACACATGCGTGCTATTTGATCACAGCAGGCAGTTGCGTGTTTCCACACTTCGTTGTACTCTTTATATCATGCAGCCGATAATAGTTAGATAAGTAACGATAATCATTGTAGCTTTGTGTGTTGTTATGGTATAACAGCCACAGTTGACAATTAACTTTTCAGAACCCGTGATAAAGTTTGAAAAGAGGCGCCTCATTGCTAAGGAACCAGAAGATCCTGGGGAGCCAGCGACAGTGGGCGTGGTCATCGTTAGGGTTGGCGACCTGTCCGCCATGTCTGCCGTGCGCGCGCACACACGTGACCTGACAGCCCAATCAGGAAAGGACTACGCGGGAATATCACAGGGTGTGTCACCATGTTTGTTGCGACACTGAAATGTCTGTGTAGCACCCCATCGCACCGCCATGATAATTGTTATGGCCATAATTCTTGTTGTGGTATAGTGCAAAGCCATAGCACATACACACATACAGACACACGCGCGCGCACGCACGCACGCACGCACGCACGCACGCACGCACGCACGCACGAACGCAGGTATGCACGCATAACAAACTGTTGTATCTATGATTCTCGTTAACAATGTAACAATCTAACGGCGAGAATCTGTTCACATAATACTGCACACACATTCGCAGCACTTTACTAGCGGGATTGCGCATGCGCTCAACTCGCCGCTTGAGACTGCACGCCCTACGTGCGATTAGCATCGCTTGTTTTTCTTCTTATTGTTACAGAGTTGGTGTTCCCACCAGGGGTGGCGCGCAACGTGCTGGAGGTAGATATATTGTATGATGCTGAGCAGGAGATAACGGAAGCTTTCAGCGTACACCTCCTACCGGACAAATATGGCCGCGCAAAAGTTCAGGTATGCCATTACGTAGCGACTAGTAGAAATTTAACTGAACCAATGAGACAGAGGAAAAAAGAAAACAAACGAAAGAGCGAGGCACAGATAACTGACCTATTCATATAAGCGAGATTACCATTCGCCGCGCTCCCCTATAGTTGTTAGGTCGGTCACGCTAGATCAGTTTATACGTTACTTACACTTGCGCGCCTATTAGTCGACTTCGCAGCACTTGGTCACCAAGCATAGTTTTAATACGTTCTTATCAAAATGTTGGTTGGCCAGAGTGCCCGTCATCCGACCAGACGGATAGGTTAATTGTTGAAATCTAATAAAAAGCATGCGTATAATAATTGTTAGATAATTATACACCATCAGTGACTGAATTGGTTAATTAAAAGTTTGGAAATTCGCATGATCACAAACTGGGGCAGATTAATTTAACACAAGCGTTCGTATGGTTCCCGGCCCTTCCCGAACCGTGACCTTGAGTCCTTGACCTCATCCTTTGACCGCTCTCTCTCTCTCTCTTTCTTCTACGAGTCGTGTGTTGCCAGGTAACCGAGAAATGCACCGTCTTCATCGAAGATAGTCACACCAAGGGTGACGTCACATTTCCCGCCATACCCGTCATCGTGTCACTGAGAGACCTGGACGACAAGGTGGCGGCCGTCGGCTCGCCGATTCCTGGCTACCCCGTCGTCTGCGTCACGGTACGGCAGCGGCAGCGGCGCGGGGGCAGCAGCAAACTAGCTGTGATAGAACAGCAATCATGTTCCCGCAATACTAAATCTTTCTTGTTTGCTATAATGATCAGAGTTACGCGGCGGTGGACGGCGAGAGCTGTTGGCATTAGCGTGATTATCGTCAGACGTCCGCAGCTAATGTAAGCTCGTCAGATGCATCTGTTGCGCTGATGGAGACCGCGCGGCAAATCACACACGTGCGTTTAGATCAGACTGTAACTGCTAACAGCGTTTGGCTAGCTTTTCGTTAGCAGTCGCACTTGCAAGTCTGCTGCTTGGTTTGTACTTCTGGGCTCGTTGGCAGAACAAAAATAGTCTTAACATTAGTACGTCTTAACATTGGTCTTGACATTACCTTTGACTCGTAGACAGAAACATCGTAAAGTTACAAGAACAAAAAATCCTAGCAAATTGCCTGGAAAAATTATAGGAAATTAATGCCGTGTCGTTTCATTATCAGATATTATTTATGTAAGTATGTGGTTAGCCATCATAATATGCATTATTTACTGAGTATTATGTACTATTATGTACAACAAATGTACGTGCTTGATTTTGAGTTTTGTCATCGATTCTCATCCAACCAGCAGCCTTGCGACAGCAAATTAGGAAGTTCCTGTTATCGTAGGGTTTCTCATAGCTGCGGTGCGCTTCTGTCAACGCTATTCTCGTATCATTAACATTAGTCGTAAGTGTTATCTTAGCATTAACATTAGCCTTAGCTTTACGTTGTTAGGCCTACTGGCAACGGACCCTTGGCTTCTATCTCAGCACGAACCTATCATCGAAGGCCAGCAGCCTCCTCATCTCTAACTAGTAGGGATGCTTTGCTTATGGCTTCAGGCGTGCAGCGCTCGGCATCTGATGTACGGCGACACGCAGGGTTTCTGCGACACGAACGGCATCGACAACGCTCGCACGCGCTATAGGTGGCGTGTGGCGCCATCTAGTGACGACGGTCAATACGAATTAGAGGACTTGGAGATGGAGTTGTTTTTCACCGGTCCGCATGAAGTAGCGCTGGACAGCGTGTACTTTGAAGCAGGTACTGGGCATCGCGCATGCACGCACCACGCACGCACGCACGCACGCACGCACGCACGCATGCACGCACTCACGCACACACACACGCACGCACGTACGTACGCAAACACGCACACACGTACGCACGCGCGCGCACACACGCCCGCCCGCGCACACGAGGCACCGGCAGGCAGGCAGGCAGGCAGGCAGAGAGGAAAGCACGCAATCGATCGAGCAGCAATGGAGGAAGGTTGGTAGTGAGTGATGCAATTAGGAGGCAAACTTGAAGCTAAGCTGCAAGACAGGCGGTCATTCAATCAGACACACACCTGTTACTGCTCCTCTAATGCTTCTGCTCCCCTTGCTGATGTTTCTGTTGCCATTAGTTACGTGGCTTTCACTGGTCATAGGTAGCCGGCTCCAGTGTGTGGCCCAGGCGGTAGATCACCATGGTAACGCCGGACTGGCTTCCTACAGCTCCGTGGTGACGATTGCCATGTTATCGCAGCTCTGTCCGTCATCGTCTCTTGGTTCCTTCGGAGCAAACCCCTTCGTTGCCACGATGAAATATACAGGTGAGAAATGCTAATTACATATACGTGAGAGAAATGCTAATTACATATACGTGAGAGAAATGCTAATGGAAAATATGAGGGAGAGAAGAAATTTATAGGGGAAATGCATGCCAGTGAGATATATCAAGAACAAAACTTATCAGCCAGACTGTATTTATGACGACTTTCACTAATCTGCCCTACCTCAAAGAATACTCGCGACAATACATCACATTATCATTGTAACAAGAGAACATGTTCGCTGCTTACTTGCTATTTCATAGGCTATAGCAGCATAAACTCGTAATAATCTTTATGCTAAAGTAAACAGTAAATGTGCGATGACAGGTGCGACTAAATTTGTCAACATTTATAAATCTTTTGATATATTTGAGAAATTATCGTTTTGATAAGAAGTGCTTTGATAAATGAAATATTTTAAATTATATCATAATTTCAATTTTTCATTTTCATATTTTCATATATCATAATTACTAATTATTTATTAAGGTGTACATGATATATTATATTTATTATCATTTATTACATTATTGATATTATTTATTTATAATTGATTAGATAACTAGAAATATTATTAATGTAGGCCTACTTTTTTAACATAATTTGTGATATAATTTTTGATTCGATATCGCCAGGTAAGGCGGAGGCAGATAAGGGCTGGGCTGGCGGCGTGCGTGTCTCCGTCACGGTGCCCCATGTTGACGGGATGCTGCCGCTAGTATCCACGCGCCCGCTTACCAACCTCGACTTCGCTCTCACTCCGTCGGCCCTGCGCGTCACCACACACACCTGCTCCAACCTGCTGATAGATGGCGACACCGGTGACAACGTGACGTTTCTCTCCGGCGATGACGTGTGAGTGACGCCGAGTCGGTGATCGTTAATATGGCGATTCGATTTTCTCATCGATTTTGGTTTTCGATCGTTTGAATGTATTGGATGAGCGAGAGTATACGGACGGCGGTGTTTCGACCGCACTACTTCGATGTATACTCGCATGATACATGCACGGCGATCTCTGCCGCTCCTCACGGTCAACATTCTCCTCTCGATAATCATGATGATATATATATATTAGGGTTAGAAACACTTAATCTGTCATATGACCCCTTTATATAGTGGTGACGAAATCGGGTCCACGGAACCTCCCGATCAAGGTTTCGGAGTGCGCCGACAGGAGTTCTCGGAACTGGAGTCGCATGAGCGGGACGCGGGGGTCCGCGGAGAGAGCGTGGTCGGCTTCTACCGTCATCTGGACCTGCAGGCGTGCCTGTGGCGCTTCGTCGCACACACTGACCTGACTGCACTCGTGGAGACATGTGGCGCCACCGTCACCACTGACGGCGAGGTACGGCGCTTTACCGTGACTGCGCCCGTGACTGTGACCGTGACTGCGATCAGGAACATGACTGTGGCTGTAACCGTGACCGTGATTGTGACCGTGACCGTGACCGTGACCGTGACCGTGACCGTGACCGTGACTGTGACCTTGACTGGGACCGTGACTGTAACCGTGACCGGAACCATAACCGTGACCGTGACCGTGACCGTGACCGTGACCGTGACCGTGACTGTGACAGTGACTGTGACCGTGACTGACCGTGACCGTGACCGTGATTGACCGTGACCTTGACTGTGACCATGACTGCGACTGTAATCATGATTATAATCGTTATAATGGCCATGGCCGTGACCATGGTTTTATTTATATTGAGAAACTATTCTGATCTTCACGTCTCCGCACGCCGCTATGAAGCGATGCAACCTAGATCATTTCCGTCGGGTTCTAGCGCGTGAATTCGTGCAGATTACATTTCAACCCGTTTCAAAGTGCGAACGATCTATTACGTCGTCTTCGCACAGATGCTCAACCTGACGCAGTCATTCGTCACCGTCACCATCCCTCTCTACGTCACCAACGCCTACTACGCGCCTCAGCTTCCCGCTAGATGGCGCAGCGTCGACATGGAGACGAAGATGCGGGTGTCGTTCGTGTACGACACAGCGCTACTGTGGGATGACGGGATAGATCCGGATAACAGCGATTCACTGCCAGCAGGTATAGCCTTACTCGCCTCGCTCTCTTTCTTCCCCTCTTCCCCTTGCCCCATATCCTCTCCTCTCCTGCTCTCTCTCTCTCCCTCTCGTGTCTCTCCTTACCTCTAAATGCTGATACTGCGGTGAATCTTCATGGACGATTTTTCTATTCTTTTCTATTTTCATTAAATAACATATAGAACTTGGCAAGATTTGTTTTGCTTAGTGTGTCTGTCACACAGCCTTCTTATTTTCATTCGTTTTCACAGAAATATTTGTGAGCGCAAAACTGAAGTTTCCATTGCTCCATCAGTGGGCACCAGTAGTCAGACTGAGCCAAAAACCTATTAACCATCGCAGTGTAAGGGGGAGGAAGGGGTTAGGGAGGAGGTTAAGGTAAGGTCTGATAGGTGGCAGGAAGGGGGGAGGGACACGGTAATAGATGGAGACATGTGAAGCCAATGACTTCCCTCTCCAGGGAGGTTGTACCTGACACGATTGAGGCTGGATTCCGATGGCAAGCTGCAGGTGCATTTCAGAACTGAAGCCCACTTCACTGGAAAGTTCGTGCTGTTTGCATCACGGGCAGGTATGCGTTAACGAGCAGGTGTCTATTAATGACCAGGTTCTTATTAATGAGCAAGTGTGTATTAATGAGCAGGTGTTTATTAAAGAGCAGGTGTTTATTAATGAGCAAGTGTTTATTAATGAGCAGGTATTTAATAACGAACAGGTATATATTTATGAGCAGCAGTCGTTTATCGGGAGCCTAGCCATCGTTTATCAGCAGAAACGTGCGGTGTGATGTGTGTGTGCGCGCGCGCGCCGCGTCTGTGTGTGCTGTGCGCGGTGTGCTGATGTGCGTGCGCGCGTGTGTCTGTGCTGTGCGTGCGTGTGGCGCGGCGTGTGTGCGTGTGTCTGTGTGTGTGCGCGTCACCGCGGTGTCGTGTGTGCGTGCGTGCATGCGTGTCAGAGAGTGCGTTGGACTGCATTATCGTATATATTCTACCAAGGAGTAGATAATACTTAAGAAGGAAGATAGAATTAATAAAATGCAACGATGATAAATAATAAAGTGCGCCGAGTGATTAGCCGTCCTTGCTTGTGACTGTGCAGGCGGCGAGCTACTGGGAGTCGACGGTGTGTTGCTGAGCGGTCTCGGCACTCAGCTTCCAGCGCTACGTAGCTGCTAGCAGTGGAACTCGGACACTAGGAGTGAACCAGTGACAGACGTGGAGATTCATCTCTAACTAACGCGGACATCTGCATGCAGGACCCTCTCACAAGATTCATCGGTTAACTAAGTGCGTGTTAATGTAGAGTTATGTGAACATATTATATCGAAGTACGGTGTTAGCTAAGGATAGTATTGTGTTAGATTTCATGTGACCATATCATAGAAGTACGGGCTTAGCGAAATGATGTCATACTCAGTCTGTAGGTCACCGCCAGTATCTATGATCTGTACAGCGCGCCGCACACAAGAAAGAATGTTAGGTAACTATACTGAATGCCATTCCTTAAGGCTTTAAATCAAAGATCTTATTCATCATGTTTCATTTCGTGTTTCTTCCATGTATTACTTGAGTCCATTAGCTAAATTAATACTGGAGACGAGAGCGCATTTCGCAACCACGCGCGCATGTCTAACGGCCGCGCATACGCGCGCCGTAAGACGTGCGCCGACCTACCTCGGACAATACCATGATCCGTGCTTCTACGTCGGCACGGCCGAGCAGCGCGCATGCCTATTGTGAGAGTCGGGACGACGGCTGCGAGCCGCAGGGATTCACGTGGACCTTCGAGCTGTACGCGGCGTCTGCGCCGAGGTTAGTCGACGCCGTACCGGCAGAATTTAGCCTCGGTACACGTTCTGAGCTGGGCGGAGGCGGGGCTGGCTGGCGGGATTGTCGCCGCCGAGCTGTCGACGCCGGACGACGACGCAACTACGGCCTTCACATTCGTTAAAGGTCGTGTGAGCGTGACCGAGGGCGTGGTTTTGTGTAGTGTGTGTGTGTGTGTGTTGTGTGTGTGTGTGTGTGTGTGTTGTGTGTGATGTGTGTTGTTGATGTATGTGTGTATGGCCCATCTAAGTGCTATTTATCTATGCAGCACTATCCGTCTGTCTATCTGTCTATCTGGCTATACTATCGTATCTATCTATCTATCGTATCATATCTATCTATCTATCTATCTAATCCTATCTATCTATCTAGTCTATCTATCATCGTATCTGTCTATTTAATCCATCTATGCTATCTGTCTATACCATCTATCGTATCTATCCTATCTATCTATCTAATCTATCTATCTATCTATCTATCTATCTATCTTATCTAGTCTATCTATCATATCTACTCTATCTATCTATCTATCTATCTATCTATCTATCTTCTATCTTTCTATCTATCTATCTATCTATCTACTCTATCTATCTATCTATCTATCTATCTATCTATCTATCTATCTATCTATCTATCTATCTATCTATCTATCTATCTATCTATCTATCTATCTATCTATCTATCTATCTTTCTATCTTTCTATCTTTTCTATCGTTATCATATCTATCTATCTATCTATCTATCTATCTATCTATTACTCTATCTATCTATTTCTATCTATCTATCTATCTTATCTATTATCTATCTATCTATCTATCTATCTATCTATTGATCTATCTGTCTATCTGTCTATCCGTCTATCCGTCTATCCGTCTATCCGTCTATCCGTCTATCCATCTATCCATCTATCCATCTTCCATCTTCATCTATCCACATCCTATCTTCATCTATCTCTATCTATCTATCTATCTATCTATCTATCTATCTATCTACTATTATCTATCTATCTATCTATCTATCTACTTATCTATCTATCTCATCTATCTTCTATCTATTATCTATCTATCTATCTATCTACATCTATCTATCTATCTATGCACTATCTATCTATCTATCTATCTATCTATCTATCTATCTATCTATCTATCTATCTTATCTATCTATCTATCTATCTATCTATCTATCTATCTATCTCTTCTATCTTTCTATCTTTCTATCTATATATTCTATCTATCTATCTATCTATCTATCTATCTATATATCTATCTATCTATCTTATATCTATCTATCTATCTATCTATCTATCTATCTATCTTATCTATCTGTATGCACGCGCGTAGGTGGGGCGTGCGTGCGTGTGTTTATGTGTGTGTGTGTGTGTGTGTGTGTGGGTGTGTGTGTGTGTGTGTGTTGTGTGTGTGTGTGTGTGTGCTGTTGTGTGGTGTGTGTGTGTGTGTGTGTGTGTGTGTGTGTGTCTGTGGTGTAAGAGAGAGCGTGTATGAAAGAGTGTATGTGTGTTTGCATGCGTGTGCGTGCGGTGCTCGCGGCGCGTGCGCGTGTGCTGTAAGAGAGAGAGATAGTGTGTATGAAAGAGTGTATGTGTGTGTGTTTGCGTGTGCGCGCGTGTGCGCGTGTAGGCGAACGCTGCTTTCCCCAACCTTCCCCATTACATCATCCCACACGCCTGTGCAACCACGTGACTCGCACGCGAATACTTGCAGGCGACGAGATTTATGGCAGTGTGACCTTTGACCCCGGCCAGAGGTTGCACAAGCTGCTGGGCGTTTGCGTGGAGAAGGTGTTTGTCTGCGCCGGACGTAGCGGCTTCCTGCCGCGCTTCCGGCCGTCGGCGGGCGACTACGGCTGTCTGTCGACCTCCCGTCGCCTGCAGCACCAGCTGAAGATACTCGTGAGTAGTGTGCCGATGACTCACACACACAGGCACGCACACACGCACGCACACACGCACGCACGACGCGACGCACGCAGCGCACGCCAGGCCACACGCACGCCACGCACACACACGCACACACACAGGCACGCAGCACGCACACGCAGGCACGCACGGCGGCGCACACACACACAGGCACGCCACGCACGCACACACACACGCACGCACGCACGCACGCACGCCCACCACACCACAATACATATATGTATATATATATATATATATATATATATATATATATATATATATATATTATTGCTTGTATGATGTAGTCGAAATATGGGTTAGGGTTAGGGTTAGGGTTGTAATGGGTTGTAATATTGGGTTGAGGTTGTAATGTAGGGTTGTAATATATGGGGTTGAAATGAATTGGCTAGTGATGACAAATTATGACAATACGCGCGTTTCATCTCCTAGGATCGAGGAGCACCCGATACAGTTCACACACGAGTTCAGAGGCACAAGCATTCATGCGTCTCTCAATGACCAGGAGGTGACGGTGACC